TTATTTTCTCTAATTAAAATATTTCAAACAAAACATTATTTCTTGGGATAACTGTATTGATTGGTAACCATTTTATAGTTCCTCCATGTCCTCAAGTTCACTTTTCAGCAAGTACAGTAAATATTATCATTGTATTTTTATCAGTGTATTCTGTTAAATTTGCAGTGTTTTATGGTTAATTATATCAAGTTGATTTGCCTTGATCTAGTTGGTGTGTCTTACTTTAAAGCATCCAATGTAGTTTAGATAAAATTACATGATATTATCCATATGTCAAAAGATGGTTAAAATGGATTTCCATTCTCTTTATTTTCTTGCCATTGTGTAAATAATCATATAAATAGAAGTATCTGAGCTTGACTAGATCATATATCTCAAAACATTTAGAAATACTTTTATACAGACATAAAGTTACAGAGCTCAAAAACGGCATAACAGCAATGACCCATCTATTGATGTGTATTGAATGTCATCTGCATTCAAGTCCAAGTGCCAGGATGCATTTTTAGACATAGTTTAAGCCCTCCATTAAATTATAGTTTGCATAGAGATTTAAATTCAATTATAATTCATGTTTGGTTATGGACGTATAGCTTTAGCTGGTTTGACAAGATCATCCTAAAGGATTCAAATGACATTCTCTCTATAGGCTTATCTCTCTCAGGTCAGCCCTTCTGTAATGAGTAAGTTTCTAAGGAAAGAAATTAGCAGAGAACTGTTAGAAATGCTACCTGGAAATTCCCCCCTCTGCTGTAAGGAGCGAGAGATGGAATATCAATAATTAATTCTACAATTATCTCATCATTAATCTGCCGTAATATGTCCTCACGGACCAGCTGTTTGCACTTCCAGCAAGCGTCGACTCGTACAACCTAATGTGCCACGCGCAATCAGTCTCTCATCAGCCATAATTACAAGCGTTATCAGTCTCTCCCACCCTCCTGCTATATATAGTAATTGTTCGTTTTGAGCAAAAGTCACATAATCTTTTTTCGTATATGGAGAAATGCACTCTTTGTTCATATTTCAATTTTATAAGATTTTTCAAATATTGCTTCAAAATGGTGAAATGATTACCACCACAGAAGGAGGCAATCCAAGTCTTCAAAACAACATTATTACTGCTGTACATTTCCTCTCTATGGGCAGAATAGGTTTTTGAATTGCACTGGACTTTATTAAAGTTTTTGTTCAGATTAAACTGTTTTTTTTTTCCCTAAATTACAGCTCCAGGTATTTTCTTACCCAAATAAATGATTGATTAAAGATGAAGCTGAACTAATTGGGTCTTTTGTAGCCTTATAATGTCCTCTGAGGTTTCAGAGCACCGTATTATCTCACTTTCTCTTCTTCTCTTCTCCAGAGCAGAGATGGAAATCTCTCTGCGATGACAGCCGCGTCCCTGATGAGACTAGTGCTGCCGCCACTCGAAAGCACATCCTTCTGTTTGCGCAAACCCGCAGTGGCTCCTCATTTACCGGACAACTTTTCAATCAACATCCTGGCATATTTTATGTTTTTGAGCCCCTTTTCCACGTGCAACAGGCCTTCACCAATTCTAGTAGCCGTCTGCAAAGGGCTTTGGATGGCAGAGCTCTTCTGGGAGCCTACCGAGACCTCCTACTCAATCTCTACAACTGTGACTTCAGCTTCCTGGAGAGCTATATTCGCCCCGAACCACAGGATCACATGACCGGGGCCTTTTTCCGCCGCAGCTCCAGTCACGCCCTGTGCACGCCGCCTGTCTGCCAGGAAGGTGCCGAGGAGATTCTAGCAGGCCAACCGGATGAAGTCTGGTGCCCAAAAAAGTGCCAGGCCTTGAACCTCACACTAGCCTCTCAGGCTTGCCAAGCACGAACCCACGTGGCCATAAAAACAGTGCGTATCCCAGAGATAGGCGACCTACGTACGCTTTCAGAAGACCCCCGTTTAGATCTGCGAATCATCCATTTGGTGAGAGACCCCCGAGCCATTCTTGCCTCCCGCATGACTGCTTTTGCCGGTAAATTCAGGGCCTGGAAGATGTGGAATGCCACCGGCCGCCAACCACGGTACGTGGACCTGACGCAGATAACGAGAACGTGCAGAGATATCGAGTATTCTGTGGAGACCAGCCTGCAGAAATCCACATGGCTGAGGGGTAGGTATCTGTTGGTGCGCTATGAAGACTTGGCCTTGAATCCTGAGGAAAAGGCCAAGGAGATATACAGATTTCTGGGGCTGGACCTGCATCAAAGAGTCCTCACATGGATTGCTCATAACACCAATGGCACTGTCCCATCTTCTTCAGAGTGGAACTATAAGTACTCCACCACAAGAGACTCAAAAGCCACAGCTCAGAGCTGGAGAGTACATCTGAACTTTGACATTGTTAAGACAGTTCAATCTCTTTGTAACAGAACTCTTTCTCTACTAGGCTATAAGCTTGTTCAGTCTGTAGATGAACTGAGGAATATAACAAAAAGTTTAATGGAGCCCAGGACATAGTACAGGTCATTTTTAAGCAAACTACTAATTCATTTTGCAACACACTTTTATCCAAAGTGACTTATATTGCATTCAGTGGATACATTGAATCAAACAGGACTCGTAAGTCCCAACAAAGTACATTTGGTTACGGAATTTTTTACATATTTTTCAGTTTGTTTTGACAACTTGCATACCAATTGTCAATGCCATGTACTGTAAATGCAACATTATAGATCTTACTTTGGTGACAACCTAGCTCATTAATAATAATTAGGTCATGATTATGATGCTTGGTACCTTTCCTTAAAGGAATAGTTTGTCCAAAAAAATGAAAATTCTGTAATCATTCCCTTACTTATGATTCTCTTTCCTCTGTCTCAGTGATTTTTGCCCATACAATTGAAGTCAAAGGTAAACAAAATGTTTTGGTAACCAACATTCTTAAAAATATATTCTTCTGTGTTCTGCAGAAGAAAGTCTGGTTTGGAACAACATATTGGTGAAAAAAAATCATGATAGAGTTTTCATTTAGTTCTTAATATTCATGAGCCAGGCCTTTAGAATAGTATGATGCTAAATAAGCACCCGGGCCCACCATTTTCAGCCTGTAAATGTGCATTAATGTGACCAAAGAACTATCGACACAAAGCACAGCAGACTTGCCAGTAATGAACATGACAAAGCTGGTCAAATGATCAAATAAATAGCATGTATCGTCTGGGCGAGCCCTTAAATGGCCTTAAGTATGAATGTTGATCAGCGAATATGTCCTTACAACCCCATAAACAGTCAAACAGAAATCTAAAATGACTGAAATGTCACTCACCGCTACTGAAAAGCCCGCTTCTATGTTCTTCTTAAAAGCAAAGTCCTTAATGAAATCAAGTCGGCACAGAAGTTCATGTTCAGTTTAAATCACTGGCAGACAGGTCAATGTGTTTCCATCTACTGAAGTCCTTTAATTTTTTTTTTTTTTGCAAGCTAAAACTTCAGAAATTATCTCCCTCTGATGGCTTTGTGAGTCAGAGTCAGTGATTATTTCTAAGTGCAGTGTCAACATTGGGAAAAGCACTTTGGAGCTATGCAGCCACTTTGCAATTTGTGGATAACAGATATGAAACTATACAAATCAAAATCCTCATTTAATTAATATGCTATCTCTTGTTCACAGAGCCCCCTTGAGGTTGAGCCTTTGGCTGCAGCCCATGTGATCCCTTGGGTTAATGTGGCCCTGCTAATTACTGTTTTAGTTCATATCGTGGATTAAATTACTAAACCCATGAACACATCACATTTTGGAAGTCTGAGCTCAAATATCTGCTAATATGTAATGAAAATGTCACTTCATTGCATACAAATGTTGCATAGAAATGCAGAGATTATGAGGCTTGGGAATATTAAATTGTGCCAGTGTTTAGCCTTAAAAAAAAATCTTGGATTTCAGGATGTCTTTGTATATTTGTGTTGTTGTTCATGCCATTCTGCTAGGTCCTTTAAGCAATTTATTACTTCTATGTGAAACATGCCCTTAAATGCCAACACTTTTACATATTGGAAATAAGCTGTGTAAACAACAGTTCCTCATCTCAGGTATATGATGATTAAATGCAAATCTTCAGCCGCACTGCCAATTAATAAATATGCAGAGAAAAGAGGAAAACTATATGGTGGACTAAATTATTCCTTTTCATATTGTTTCATTCCTTTGGAATTGATGGTTCACAATGATATAATATGTTTGTTTCATTCAATTATTTATTTATGGAAAATTATTTATTTATGGAAAAAGGTGCAGAATTATGTGGGACACTGTGCAACTGGTGTATTAGCTGTATTAATGATAGGTTCTGAGTGCTTATTTGTCTGTATGTAAGCTTTCTGAGTAATACACATGAACACATTGATTGACCTGTGTTATTAATATTTAAGCAGGACTGGTGGCAAATGGAAATGAATCTGAAGCACTAGTTTTGTTGTAGGTGTTTGTTGCTGCTGTATGGTATTCTCTATGGCCTGCGATTCTCATCAGTTTTCCGTCTTTATGCACCAAGAGCTTGTAACACTCCAAAGAGAAAGGAAAAAATGAAATTGCATCATATGACCCCTTTAATACTTGACATGGGTGGTGTTCTGCTGAGGCTGGAGCATTTGGTGAAGTGCTGATCATCTTCTCAACGTCAGCAGTCCAGCTTTAGCTTGAAAATTGAAAAAGTGATTACCAAGGGACATGGCCATAATTCAGACTCCCTTTTTGTCAGTTCTTTTTGTTTTCAAAGGCAAGGATGCCTGACATTAACATATTTAATGGATGATAAGCATTGGGTTGATGAATATAGGCTATTTCCATAGCACATAAATACAAAATCATCAGAAATATTGAAATATCATTTTGCAAAGATATATGGTGAAAGCAGCGCCATTTAATATAATTCTGAAAATACTGCAAATATAGGGGATTTTGCGCAAGTTAAAATGAGTGATTCGTTCATTTACACGCAATGGTTCAAATGAACTGATTCATTCAAATGAATCGGACTTCCTAGCGCTAAATATGACTGAAAACGGAGCACAAGCACAGCCCAGGTGGGTTTATTTTTTTCCCTAAACTCAGCTCGCTAAATAGCATGTATGTTCTAAAGCTCTAGGTTCGGTACAACGCGACTGAACCGTAATGTGGCGATTTGTAAGACAAGCTGCTTTTCAGATACACTGTTTTGAATGCAGCGAAATCAGCCTCACGCTACTGAATGCAGCTAATTATCTATTACTCGCTATTTTTAGTTGGTTACTCCCCAGTGTTATAGTCTACTTAGAAGTGGCAGGAAAAAATATTAGATTTTCTCGTTTCATGACAGTGCAATATTATTGCCCAGTGTTATTACTTCCAGTTTTGGATAAAGAAAAAACAAGTCTGGCTCAAGTCTCAAGAGAGGCATTATGAGTAAATGGTTGCAAAAACACCTTACCACACGGATCTTGGAAAGAAAGCCCAAGTAAATGTAACCACTGGGTTCTATGCCAGGACATACTTTCTAACCAGAATCCTAGGGGTTAAAAGCACCCTGAGGGAGTAATCCTCCCTCATTTACAATCACTCTCTGCCCTGCAGCTGCTGACTGCAGGGTTATTTCTCAGAGGCCCTGAGAATATATCCATAGAAGAAACTCAATAGAAACGGGATTTAAGATGGAGGGAGAAGAGAAGCCATCTCTCTTTGAACTTAATCTGCAAAGGCAACACAAACCGGCAATAAAGCAGAGTTTATGACACCCTCTGAGAACTGTTTCATTGGCTTTTCCATCGCACCCTGACATACAAAGACACCAGCCGCCTGAGTCAGCCACACAGTTAATCGCCCATCTCTTCACAGCCAATATCAGCCCCCTCTGTCCCTCTTAACCCCGCTGACAAATTTAGACCTCTGAGAATGGCGGTAACTGATGTTCAGAGCAAATCCACAATGTGTGGGTGTGTACAGCGTGCTTTTGTACATGTGAGTAATGTATTAGCATGAAGATATGGGAGTGAAGTGGCCACAGGTCAAGAGTCTGGCATATGCTCGGTTGCCAAGAGAGAAACAAAAGAGAAAAAAAATCAAACTGCTCTCTACGAATGACCCCTTTCTTCTTAGAAAACGATCACATAAAGGTCAGGCACAGACTTGTGGGAAAGGAAAATTAGTCTGCTGCAGAAATCATGAACATGAGAACTGGATGTAGCAAATATTATAGAGATAAATACTGTTTATTTTATATAGGTCTACTGTCACTGCTCAAAATGTAAGTTGCTATACATTTTCTTTTACATACAGAATTACTAAGGCTGCTAAAAGAAAGGCTATTTTGTGCTTCGCTTGTAGCATGTGATTTAAAAGTGCTGTAGACTCTTAAATATTAATCCTCATTTAAATTATTTTTGCTATTATGCCAATGCCAAAGCCATCTGTCAAAATCGGCAGTTTTCCTGACACATCGAGTCAGCTCCAAAGATGTGAGACCAAGATGGAAAATGTTTAGCTTGTTTTTTTTTTTTTTCTAATTTAATACAAAATTTTACATTACTTATTCTCAGCATAGCATTTTGAATACATTTTACTGCACTGAATTCTCTGTTTTTGCTTATTCGATTGACAATATTTCTTCTTTGTTTAAAATGTATTAAAATTCTAATTTTTAGTTTATTTCCAGTTTCAAAGAAAAGAATCCCTGAATTGTAATGTGGTTCAAAGCGTTTGAACCAAACTGTGCAGTCTTCAAATGCATAAATCCATGGCAACCATGTTTTATTGAAAGAAACGATGAAGCATAAACTGATCCTAATTTTTTTTTTTAAATAAATCCAATATTTTCTGCTCCCTCCATCATAGCAGTCTGAAAATCCATCTCACTCTCAGATTTTCAGTAAAACTTAAGATGAATCACTCTCCAAGCTAACTGTGTTTAACACTGGGATTCACAAAGACTGATTTGACAAGTAGCCTACTGTGCAGGCAATAATATACGAGTAGGGTACAAATAAAAATATGTGTAATTTATGAACGGCCAAGACACAATCTTCAGACCATTTCTCTGTAGCTTTGAGAAAAATTATTTGTGTTATCTATGTCGCTTGCCTCCTTTTTAGAACAAATCGGTACATCTGGAAAGCTATACAAATGGATTCAGTACCCATGAGGAAAGCATCCTAACGAAAGACTTTCAAATTGCCTTGTTCTCTCCGTCTGCGAAGGTAAATCATAAGTCTACATAATTAAAATAATGAAATGCTCAATTGACGCCCCTCAGGTGCCATTTGCTTGAAATTTCGTCTGATGGGGGCATGAGACAATTGCTGAAGCAATCCTACACGGCGAGGAGTAATTAGCCATATTACAATTTGCAGTAATAGGCACCATAAAATTGAACCCTGAACACTCTCTATATTTCATGAGCCTGTATCTTTTTATAGTCCCTAGTGGGCCCAGAGCCATAGGAGTGCATGATGTTTGATTGCTAAAAAAGGAGAGAAACAGTGCAGGAATGGAAGAAATGCAGCTTGAGAACAGGACCGAGCGGTAAAGGGGTGTGTAGGTGTATGTATGTGCGCATGTGTGAGTTTGCGTGCGCATATACTACTATGCAAACTTAGCATCTGTTCTGTCAGTGTTTTTCAGCAAACCCGGCACCCTCACTTTCACTCCTCCCACACTTTATTTCTCTAAAAATCACATTCCAGGCATTTCAAGACAATTTTTCCTTCACAAAAGATGATTGCCTACAAGTCAACTTTACAAACTGTAATATTCTCCAAAGTGCAGATACGCTAGCTAGTTAGTAAGTGAGTTTCACTTTGTCTGTCAGTGTATTTGTAGCTTAAAAGCATTAATGTGCATTTGTTACAGTAAATGGCATGGTTAAGCAGTAACTCATGCTTCATTTTGACCATTATACCATGAACGTTGTGTCAAAAATAGCTATGCTGCAAGCGTCATATGATTGTGAACCGCAGCATGCAGTGAGACAATGCGTTCTGACAGCATACCAGTCAATCTGTTTCCAATATTACCCTTTTTTCACACTTCTTGTTGTTTGGATATTCTTGGGTGTCTTTGTTGATGTTGTTTTGTACAGAACACTGTAAAAATAGCCAGGATTTTATATTGCCAGTAGATTTCTTGCAATAAAATATTGTATTCAGAGTTTTACTGTAAGGCCATAAAAACAATAACATATTATGCTGCAGTGTGGGATAATACTGTGAAGAGTTTCGTTTGAAGTCACCATTATGATGACTAGTGTTCCCTCTGGCTGGGAAGTTGTATTTACTTTTAATTAATTGACTCCCAGCAGACGTGTTACAGAACACACTTGGTTCCACTGTATTACATGGAGAAAATAAGTTTATTATAGGCTAACTTGCAGTCTACAATATGGGACTATTATAAGATATGTTACAGAAACAGTATAACCTTTTATTTTTATAATTAAGAGTTGCTGAGGTGTTTGCAATGCTGTTGTAGTGTGGTGAGCTGAGTAGTAGTTTTTCTAGTGTAACTTTTAGTATGTATTGTCAACCAGGAATGCAAATATATCAACACTTGGCAGATGTAACTCAACAATGGTAATCAACAATGATGATTTAAGATTTTTAAAAACTCATCAACATTACAAAAGAAAGTAACGTGACAAAAACAGCAACAGTAAAATAAACAACAAATAACCAAATAAATTTACAAATAAATAAAAAAAAAAAAAATGTCTGTGAAATTATTAAATGTAATTTTCAGCAAGCAAGCGGTCAAGTATCGTGTCGTGCAACACAAATTTTTATGTGGCACACCTAAAAGTACATTTTACAGACAAAACACTGAAGTTTTTATGATAGATCTGTGATGTATAATAATAATAATGAAAGTACTTGTCATGCTTGATCACGCTAATGTCAATGAAAAGTGAATGGCAGCGTACTTTTGCTATGGTTATCTCATCTGGAGAACCTAGCTTTGTTTGTTAGCGTCTATTTTGATGACAGGTGGAAATACACACTGTGACTTCCCAGGCGAAAAAGAAGTGCACTTCCATAATGTACTTAAAGTGCTCTATTTTCACGCACTAATTTTGTACTTAATATACAAAAATTATTCTTTAGTACTTCTTAAGATAATCTTCTTAGTGTACTCAAATGTGCTATTTTGGGACAGCATGAATATGAACTTAAATGTGCTTTTAACATACTTTCCCTGATTAAAAAATTTATTTGGTTACCACTTGTAGTACACTTAATCCAACCCACTAGTGGGTTCAAGTGTACTACAAGTGGTGACTGAATACATTTTTTAAATACAGATTATTATTGCAATACTGTACAGTATTGGCCAAATTGAAGGTAGATAACTACTATCAACGAATATAACCTACTGTAAATTCACACTGTACATTTTCTAGACTGCAACTTATCACACAAGTCTAAGCATGAACTTCGGCTGTATATGAAGATGAATGTGGAGAAAGGGCAGGATCCCAAAGGCTGGTATGTAGTGGGAGGAGATCACATTAGATTGTGTGTGTTATTTATTCCACTGCATTATCAGATTATTTTATCCACCAAACATATGCACCACAGGGGATGAAACGATTGGACTGACTAGTGAAGGGTTTGCACTCTATCGCAATGATGAAGAGGAGAGGATTTACAGTACTTCTATCCCCAAATGTTCTCTCTTTCTCTCTCCCACTGGATCAAGGTGCACCAGAACTGTCAGCAAATCCACAATGAATTCCATACAGCACTCATCTTTTGAGTGAACTCATCCATAATTCAGCCTCGACGTCAACACACAACTTCACTCAAAGAAGACTTTCGTCCACATTCACCTTGCGTCTGTTAGCCCAGATGATATACACATGGGAGAAAGGAAAACTCTCGGACTGAAATGTGTCTCTGGAGGGGTGATGTGAAATACTGGAATGATTATATAGGACATGTTTTATGGAAAAGGACCCCATGAAACTGGAGTTTTTAAAGTCTTTTGAAATTAAGCATATATGCATTTTAAATGCAGTCTTTGTCTTCCATGTTGCATATTTCTCGTTTCCAACCTTCTGCCCTTGAGATGGAAATACTAATAAATGTCTCTCTGCAGGAATTGCTTGCAGCTAAACACAAAGATAAACTGGTTTACAGTAATATCTATAGTGATGGTGATGAAACTGTCAAGCTAGGATTTTTCCTGAGCCTTTTAGAGGACAGTAAATTTCACTAATAATTTATAATCAAGCCCAATGGAATTATTTTTATGAGAACGTATATTGTTTGGTGTCCTCAAGCACCTGCTATTAGCTGCATCTATTAAATGGTGTTGACCTCCGATGAGCTGGAAGGCGAGCCAGTAAAGTGTCTGTGCTCAAATGCTGTTGAGTGTAAGCTACAGTAAATTGTGCACTATGCTTGCAAATATAACTGAGTAAAAAAAAATAGTGGTTGTTGATTTATAAACTCATTTTAAGAAGATAAGGGGTGGGGGTGGCATTTACACAATACCCTTTTCAACTAAAACAGTGTGCTGGGTGCCTGAAAACGCAAGCTTTTGAAAACGGGTGAAAATTATACCGTTATCATCTCTGAATAAAATACAAAAACGCGAGTTTGTGAAAACTGCGACATCATGCGCATGCGTGTTACGTGTTTGCGTAGTGTTTCTTTAGAATGTGACATTACCAACTAATCTGGCTGTACATGAAAAATGGAAAAAGAAAAATCTGTTTTTAGCACATCATTGCCATGTAAATGTACCCTAATACTTATTTGTTAATTTTCTCATGTGTTGTTTGTTGTAGAACAGTAAACAAAAATGACATTTAAATCGAACTTTGAAATGTATTAATAATACTAAATAGTGCTCATTTTAATGTTGTTAAAGACTTTGAAAACATCTGGTTTCATGCTCTCAGCAGCCAATACTTCATATACTTTGTTAGTGAAAGTTTGAGAATGAAGGTATATCACATAGCCTGCTCATGTTGGCATCTGCCTAATTTGTGACACAAGGGTTTGAGTCAATGGACACACAGATTTTGACACACAGCACAAGTCAAGTCACATTTATTCATACAAGTAAAATAACAATGTTTATGTTCATCAATTATAAAACAACTTCAGTTAAAGCAGCTCTACAGAAGACGTGTCATTATTCTGCTCAATTCACATTCATTGTTTATTCAGTTCTGTTCAATAAGTGTCAATGTTGCGGTTCATCAATTATAAAACAATTTCAAAAGTAAATCTAGGAAAAGTCTGTAAAAATAAAGCCCAATGTACTGTTTTGATTTATCACATGCTCTTGTATTTGAATTACGCATTGCATGTTGTGTTTTAGGGTTAAACTTTAGGGTAGACTTAACAGATAATGACCTGGCTTAAAATGACTAGTACATCTTCTTACAGTGTACAGAACACAACAGTTTCATTATCCAGCCTCAAGTTTTTGTGTTTTCATCCGATAGTGTCCGTTCAGATCAGTAATATTGGTTTTTAAGGTTTGGGAAGCATTCCTCTTCCCTTTTAAATGTTTATAAATTTATTTTGCTATTCCAACTATGCATGATTACATTCTTTATTGCATTTTATTAATGGAATTAGAAAAGATCTGCAACCCATTTTTGGCTCTCCTCCAGTTGAGATCCAGTGAATAATACATTTGCAACATTAATTATCATGAACAATTAGACATCATAGGGTATGGCAGATTCACATAACTACAGTAAATATGAGCTTATCACTGTACAACCCTAATATACAAAACTGATAAGAAAAAGCTAAGAAGAAACACAGTTATTTCAACAAAACAATATCAAATTTGAAATGTAATGCAGGGAATTCTGGGAATGTCAATTTACGGTTATTCACTATAAATTATACGGTCTTTTTCACTTCCAAAAACGGTATACTACCGTAAAATTACATGTAATGTCCAATACAGTTTTTCACCGTATATAGTAGGGGAATTTACCGTTAACCATTTAACAAGTTTTTACTGTAGCATTTTTACAGTCTTTTACCGTTAAATTCACAGACATTTTTTACAGTGATATATTATGTAAGCACACTGCATCAAAATGATTAGTACAATTTGAAAGAACTTTTGTTCTTTTGTTTGCAGCCACAGAAGTTGAGCTCCAGAAGCCCTTCAGCCTGACACAACTGTTGACGGTAACAAATGACAGGCCTCTCCTGGACAACCAGTCCATCTGTCTGTGTCAGAATAATTGAATTCCGTAAATATAATCAGAGAGCTCTGTTATGATAAATTTTGAATGATTCCTATCTCTGCAGTCTGTTTTGTGGAGGGTATGACATATGATTCAGACCGATATAAAGATATGGACCAGCTTTGTGACAAAAATAGGCCAGTAATCCTTCACAGTCCAAGTACACTGCTCGATTGGTTCATAATGATTACCAGATTGAGTGTGGGGTCATTTTTTCTAATAACGTCTGTGTTTGTTTATGTCTGAGATGATCTGCTATTGGACATACAGTTAGTTCTTCAAATTCAATTGGCCGAGAGGCATTCCAAGAGTTCTGATATGATATAAGCTAAAGTATGATATATAGGTAACAGTTCTCTGAGGAGAGTGTGATTGTGTACCAAAGCTGCTTATAAGCATATTCAGTTAAATATATCAAGCTGAAGGCAGTAACAGAAAGAAGAAACTATGATGTTTGTTTTGATCTATGGCTAATTAGATCATTTGAATATCTGTCCATTTTCAGACAGCTTTCGTTGAATATTTATACTCCATCTGCTTTAGACTTCATTTCATTAGTCATAGCTTCCAGCGTCACATATAGCTTTTCTCTGATCCATTTTCTCAAACCACGATAAACTTTAATACTAATAGTGCACCTGAACTATAATTAAGTTTACAGCCCGATCAAATGAGTTTGTAGCCCTGCTATAAAAATGACTTTAAATCAGTTCGTTTTACTGTGCATTAATCATAATATCCTCTGTATCTGATCATCCTTCAAAAGAGCTTTGTTTAAAAGCCAGCCATTAATTAGGGTTTACTCGAGGCTGGCTCAAAGCAAGTCCCAACACTGATAATCCCATCTGATGCATCTGAGCTAGATAGCTCATTGATTGAGAAGCCCAGCTTTTGTACATGGGAACACAATCGACCAGACTACCAGAGCTTCAATGCAGTTAGTTGGTGAGGACAGACTGACAACAAAGGCACAATTGATGATCTGTGGAGCTTCTGAGGCAGTGGTGTTTAATTAGCCTACGTTGAAAGGCAAGTAAGAGCGTGCTTTACTTGGAGGGATATTTTTGCAAAAGTGATCTAGATTTCTATTCACTCAGCTTTTACTTTTAGCATTGAATGCATGTCATGTTAAGATCAATCTATTACATTTGTTTTCATTGTTTCTTTCGGCATGTGATGCATGAGTGTCATCTGAAACAGATCTCTGATGTAAGCCGTAAACTCAACATGTGATCAGTTCCCAATGGAGCTTCATTGGCTTAGGGCTCATCCAACATCACAGCTCCTTGGTTTTTCTCCTCCAAACCCAGTTAAAACCAGATGCACATCATGTGAACTAAATCCCCCAATATGCCAGTGTGCACAGTTATGTGTTCCATTCTCGCAGACAAGTGTTTCCCAGAGCATATGCCATTTTCGGAGCACGGGAGCATACATTTAATTAGTCCAAGCTCATTTAATTTACCAACACCCAGTTTATTGTGCTCTGGTCCTTTTGTGCTCGATAACAGAGGGCTTCACTGGGGTTTCCAGACTAGTAAACCTGCTTTATCCTCGCCATATTGCATTAATTTGAGCAACCTGAGCTAGTCTCACACTTTTTATCTGTTCCCACTCAGTTTGTGATCTCAGTGTCTGTTTAGGTGACACTAGGGCAAGGTTTGGCTGGTTAGCATGGTCCAGTTTAACCCGTTGCACCATATGGCTGCAAAAAACATATTTTTATGGCCATTCAGAAATATCATAAATATAAATGTGTTTTGACTGAAATGTGTTTCAAGCAACACAAAAATCACAAATATTTCAGTATATTACAGTTGATGTTTTACCAGTGCCTGATTTTTTGAAAGACCCTTAAAAGTGTGAAATAGACTATATTTTCTGCTTTTAGGATATTTTTCTGCCGTTAGGAAAGGACTGTTTCTGTGATGCCATCAGCCAGTCAGCGCTATCATTGCATCATTTTCCTGCAGCTCTGCAGTAATTCAACACAGGGCAATTTTTAGGTTAGGGATGCAATCTTCTGTAATGGGAAAGATTAAATGCTGCCCTATTCTGACAACGCGATTTAGGCAAAAATCAATGGAAAGATATGGTATACGAAACAAAACATAACTCTCTCAGACTTTCCTCCCAAGCTTTTATGTAATCAATTTGGGCATGATTCAGTTTTGTCACTCTTAAAAGCCCTTTTTTTAATTTTTTTTTTACCCCTTTTAACCTTTTTGTGAGTCTGGGACATGTGTCATAGTCTTCTGTTGTTGCTCAGTTCCCTTGTGGGTATGACAACTATCTAGTCATTATCTAGTCACTTCTACCCAAAAAGAGACTGATGATTTGCGTATGAAAGCATAGTGGCCATTAAACATACAGAAGTTGAATGTGAAGAATACATTAGTACTGCAGAATATGCTTTTTGTCACAAAAATGCTAAAGCAATGTTCTTCCACTGGGAGACATGACCCTGATCCCTCAATCCATATTCAAGCTAGATCTGTGCGCCCTTGAGCATTGCATTCAGTGCTGCTGCGTATTGTTTCATTGTTTAAAATCAATGGAAATTTGAATTGTTCAATACAAGGAACAACGAATAAATTGTTCTGGTAATACTAAATAAAATCTTGCACAAGCAGAAAATGCATTCAATTTGAAGAAGTAAGATTGTTGAAATCTATTATTTATATTTCTGATTCGTTGTGCTTCCACAGCATATTGAGGATCCTAATCAATAATCTGAATCAATGGTCTAAGTCAATATGTGAAATTCTGTGCTCTAAGGTGTTTGAAAAGGTCATACTGTTATGTAAATGTTTATGTGAATTTATTTTTCCGATTTTTGTTGTTTTATTAATCGATTCATTGATTATTAAAACAAAGAGTTAATCTATTTTGAATGAAAGATCAAAGACCATCGCTCAATGGCTACAGTGTCTTTTGATTCTCCAGGGAAGTGTGTCTAGCGTGACAAGCGACTGACAAACTTGCTTTTGCCCCATTTGATTCTCCACATCTGAACACAACTACATGATGGGAATGTGGGTCAGGCATTTAAACCAGTGACCTAAAGATCCAAGCATCCATCCTAACTCTCCAGAACGTGTTTTTGATGGTCAAGGGAAAACGAGAGAGCATAGATAAATAAAATGCTTTTTGGTTTTTGCTGATTTACTCTGAAAATGTTTAGCGTGTAGCTTTGAAGTTTTGCCTCAAACATCTTTGACATTATCAATCGATTAAAATGAGAACTTAAGTCAAGAAACAATTAAATTAATAATAATATGTTTTATTACCATGAGTATGTATAGGTAGATGGCATCTGCCTTATTAGTGGCTGTTTCTGGGCCACTATACGTAAGCCATATTGGAACTGTCAAAGGCTGTAATATTGAGTTAATACATATTTAAAACAAACCAACACATTCTCACTAATGAAAGACTGTGAGTGACGACACATTGACCATTCAAAGTTGGCAGATGCGTCAATGTGTCTGGACCAGTCGATTGTTGGCAACTATACATATCTATTGTTGTTACATTAATTACACCCTTTCTGTATTATTCTGTGATGGTATGTGATAAATGTAACCGTAATTTAAAAAGTTCTGTTATGTGAATTTATGTATATGTACACCACCGCAAATTATTATTGACAGTAAAGTAAAGTGACAGTAAAGTCACAGTTAAGAGATTAAAAGTAAAAAGTTTACAAAAGACTTCAGTGTTCAAAAGATTTTCAACATGATAATACTTAATAATGTGATACCGAAGACTGGAGTAATGTCATTGCAGAAATAAATTACATTTTAAAATATATTCATATAGTAAAGTTATTTTATTTCTTAATATTACTGTTTTTACTGTATTTTTGATCAAATAAATGCAAAAAAGATTTTAAAATGCAAATAAATGCAAAAAAGATTTCTTTCAAAAATATTTTGCATTTTTTTTTTAAATGGTGTACTTTTTCAGATGTATGTGAAATAGTCTGTATTTTTGGACTGTCAAAAATTATGTTGAAAAATGCATTGCCTATATGCATTTTCTGACATTTTCCTGCTGTTTTCTGTACAACTGTTCATGGAGACTGGCATTATGCAAATAATTTTTGCCAGGTCAGTCCAAAATTCTTTTTCAGAAAAACACTGCCTGTAAACCTCCAAAAAGAAAGAACTGTGGTTGGTCACTTGAAATGAGTCACGACAGGAGACTAATTACCCCTGCTCCCCCTACTGTTAACTATTAGAATTTATTTATCATTGTCTGGTTAAAAACAAAGAAAGTTTCTATCTTTTTAATGATTAAAGATTATACTAGAGACAGTGAACAGTTGGCAGATCGGCACATCTGCGCAGCCACTTCTGTCTCATCAAGCCTTATGTAGGCTTAATGAATGGTTCTTTGCACTCACGATTCTGTCATTCATGTGTCAGTCTCTTACTGTCTTTCTCTTGTCCTCTCCTGACTCTGCTTTAGGAGAGCCCCGCTGTTCCTCCCAATTAAGACAGTAGAGCTGCCTGGTCGCCCGCCGCTCACAACACTTTCTGACTTATCCTGTTTTCCACTTCCACTTCCAGACTGATGGGGGAAGGAGATGTGGAATAGCAAGAGCTTTGACATCGGCATTTATTTAAAGGAAATCACCCCACCAAAAGCCACAGTACCAAACGGAAGAGTTGAAAAGATTTCTTGACATGCTGTCCATGAATAAACATGATTCATCCATGCAGTTTGGAGAAATTCAGCATTACATCACTTGCTCACCAATGGATCTTTTGCAGTGAATGGGTGCCGTCAGAATGAGAGTCCAAACAGCTGATAAAAACATCATAATAATCTACAAGTAATCCACATGACTCCAATCAATCAATTAATGTCTTGTGAAGTGAAAAGCTGCATGTTTGTAATAAACAAACACTCAATGTTTTAACTGTCTATTATAATGCTAAAAAATCATTTTGTCTGAATCAGGAGAGAAATATGCACAGGTCAAGCACCATTTACAAGTGAAAACAGTCCAAAATAGTCCTAAACAAATATGCTAGTGGATTTTGATTTTGACAACAGGGGATGGATTTTTCACTAAAAGAAGCATTATTATAGATTATGGACTCTTGTTTTGCTCACAAGCAATGGTTTAAAGATAAAACACCTTAATGATAGATTTGTTTATTGCAAACACACAGCTTTTTACTTCACAAAATGTTAACTGATGGACTGGAGTCATGTGGATTACTTGTTATTGTGAAGTTTTTATCAGCAGTTTAGACTCTCTTTTTGACGGCACCCATTCAGTACAGAGGATCGATTGGTGAGCAAGTCATGTAATGCTAAATTTATAAACACACACACACACACACACACACGACTTTTCTTTTAACAGCGCTTGAGGGGAAGATTACTAAATAGACTTAAATGCTTGTTTCTCCAAAAAAAACTATCGGGCTTCAGAAAAGCTGGAATGTAGTGCTTTTATATAAAAAAAAATTTATAATTTTTTTTAATCATTTTTTACATTCATTGTGATGGATGTTTTTTGGAGCTTAACAGGCCCAGTTTTCATTCACTTTCATTGTATTTATCATATCACATGATTATATCATGCATACTAGATTATATATATGACTGTAGTATTGAAGTTTGTGCTGCTTTAGATGAAGTGAGACCTGTAGATGGAGATATTCATTGTCAGATTAATGCAGGAACTAGATGTGGATATTTTTATAAACTCCTTGCATTCAAGACCTCAAAGCTTTTAGGATTTACTAGTATATGCAGAGATGTTTTTGAAAGATCTGGCAGCGTTTTTCTTTTCCTTCATAGTGATGACCCCAACAAAATCATATTACGTCCCAGACTTTTGTGTGCTACATAATTGAATCCATTAGTGCTAAGAGAATTTCCTTTTCAGAGCTCCACATCAAAATAGGGGTTCATGAGAAAGCCCAGCAGTTCTCAAGGATGTGATGCTTTTCAAAGCACCTATCGTCTCTTAGGAGTTAATGTAAAATGACAAAAAAAAAAAAAACATCACAAGATTGCTAAAAGCCACATGGGAGCTGGTGGAAGCTCATAAGAGCATTTAGATGGAATAGGTCTAAAGAATGGCATACGCTAAATGACTTGTGTATGGTATGTACAGCATAGCAAAACCACAATTTACCAAAAATACATCAGTGATGTACCCTTGTGACCAGGGTAATCCTGTTCTTCAAATAGTTAGCACATGGCTCTCTGCAGCCTTTGGTACAGCTTGAACTTTGAGGAGCTTTCTGAGTCACAGAGCTGATGTAAAGGACTGATCAGATATATAAACCTCAGGACATCTGGCCTGACCTTGCCTCCATCACTCAACTAAAAACATATAGTATTTAATGAGAGAAGGTTGAGTAAGAGAAGCCTGGGGAACAAGGTAACCATACTGTGACACTGTAGATTAAAAATCTTGCAAAATTATTGTCCAGTTATTAGGACTTTGATTTGGAAATGACATAGTTTCTGTAAAACATTATGTAAATAATTTTCACAAAATACTTTTTTATTCTTTTTGTTTAGAATATCATAGTTTTAAAAATGTTTATGATGAATTTTAATATTATAAGATTGATTTAATGTGACCTTCATATAACAAAAAGTGAAGAGGTAAAGTTAGTTTAAATAAAGATCAACCCAAGTGCCTGTAATTGAAGAAACACTTAGAAACAGATTAAAGTATGTGAACTGAACCAGAGCAGCCAAATTGGATTAGCTAAAAATTGATTACAAGAACAACAAAAAGAGAAAATAACGGGGAGGCACCTTGCAATACAGAAAATTGGCCGCTGAATCCCCATAACTCAGTTACTATGCAGATGTCAAAAATCTCATATCCATAAATACAATTAGTCAAATAAGTCTGTACATTACTTTACCTTTGGGTTTCACTTGCATCCTTATATCTTCTTGTTGTATTACTGTTGGTGGCAAAAGAGAGAATACTAACTCTGAAAAGATTTAAAGGGCATTCATAGAGGCCGTTTATATTTATTTCAGATCAGTCCTTGGAAATGATCAAAGTTAATGTGCACTGGATGCAATAATAAGAATCCATTGCTGTGGAGCTGGCACTTATCATGTATTCAGACAAACTAAATTATCAGGTCCTTTTCAGTTTTGGTATAAAGTAGTCTATGTTTGGAATTGGAGTTTGGAATGAACACCTGCTGACACCCTAGAGCTCACATCACCAAAAACATAGAGGCAAACTTTCAAATAGATGTGACCTTTATTAACAAACCGCATATTTGAAGTCTAAACAACTTCATTCTCGCATTAAAAAAAACTCTCAAAACTACATTCCATGACACAAAAACAGTATTATTTATAGAGTTATAGTGGATTTGGGCATCTGCCATGACACCCGCTGTGAGAAATACTGCAAATATACTGTATACATATATTTTTTTCCTGGCCTTGTCATGTTACCATGATTCAAATCTCCTTACAACCCATTCACAACAGCATGCATGCATGTTTAATATCACATCACTACAAATGTTGTGTTTCCTCACAACTGTTTCCTTAACTGTTCCATGTTGCAGTATGTTAATAGGCTCCATTACTGTTCAGTGAATTGTTTACCATGCTTTCTCGATTTAGCCTCTAAGTGCTTTGATAATGAATGTAGTACGCATGGACATTTGCAGAAAGCAGCAAAACAGAATGCATTAAAACTCAGCTTTTTGTAGAGCAGAACAATTTTTTAACTATGTTGCATCTGTTTCAAGAAAGGTTTAGCTAATAGGGATCATAAGGCTTTAATAAATTTTATCTGCTAATGTCAGTATCTATATTCAGTATGTAAGTGATAATATACAGTCGGTTAATTGTATGCATTGTGGTACATTTGCATGAATCAAGAGAGAGCAAGTCTGTGGAGTAACACGAGAGAAATAAAAGTTGCTTTGGTTTCATTTACCCAGATGAGAACTGCTTTTATTGTCCTCATTTGTAAGTCGCTTTGGATAAAAGCGTCTGCTAAATGACTAAATGTAAATGTAATGTAAAATGAGTGATTTGATATACAGTGTTGTCATGGTGATTGACGTTATTACAAACTCAGACTTTTTACTACACAAGACATTAATTAATGGACTGGAGTCGTGTGGATTATTGGATTATTGGGATGTTTTTATCAGCTGTTCGGCCTCTCATTCTGACGGCACCCATTCACTGCAGAGGATCCATTGGTGAGCAAGTCATGTAATGCAAAATTTCTCCCAATCCGATGCAGAAACAAAGTCATCTCCATCTTGAATCCACCCACGTGATCGTGTCTGAGGACTATCAAATTCACATTAACAGCTTCATTAAGAATCCTTTATTGTTGGCAGAGGATGTTTCTTTAAAGACAAATGCACTGATTGCATGAGGAAAAATGACCTTCTTCTACAGTTTCTCACATTAACATTGTAATTGGTTTATTTGCATAGAGCCCTAAACAGTTACACTGCCATCTCATTAAAACTGATTCTAAATTATAAGATGTTAAGAACAAACAAGGCACCAACATAAAATTGATAATCTCCTTTCTTTGGGGCAATTAAACATATCACTCTACGACAGCCCATGCTCCGATAAGAAAACATGATATGTATTTTCTAGATCAAAGCCAAGCAAACTCTTTGATTGTTTCTTGTGCTGTTGGTTGAAAACAGAGATGATTAAAAAAAAATAAAAAATCAATTCCCTGCTGCATGTTGTTTTAGACTACTTTAATCAAAGAGCAGACATGTAAATAAATGATGCTTTCCTCAGTTTCCTGTGTAGTGTTTTGCTCGCCCACTGTAATTGATCTTTCAGAAGTCCTTGTGCTGAGCCTGAAGACTAAGATGCATCTCAGTGGAATGGGTGGATGTATATGTCGACAGAGATTACTGTATGTCTTACGTATTTGATACTAAACATGGCTGACAATGTGATAAATCCTTTAGCAGGCCCTTTTCAAAAGATGAAACGCACATATAAATTATATATCATTATCATTGTTGCAATCTTTATGTATTTTGTCAATTATAGTACATGTTTTTGGTTGTGTTTTATATATATTTGTTGTTGTTTTGCTTATATCTCTCAGTGCAGGTTTTTTTGTATCAAAAGTTTTAATCTTAAAAAAACAATTTGATTAAATACCTTTCAAAGCCTAAAGGATTTAAAGTTCCAGTCCATCTGTCAAAGTGTGACAAAGGGGAGAAAGAAAGCTTTTATTCATTAAGACATGGGTATTAAAGCTAAAGAACAAAGTGAAATGGTGGAAATGAATAATGCAGAGGTTTTTATTAGTAACATGAAGTGTTTCATTCTGATTTTGTTTGTCATCTGATAATCAAGGTTATCTGATAATCTCTTTTTTATTCTTATTCAAAACTAAAACTATTGAAAAACACCATTGGTAACTGAACTAAAACTGAAATTAAATTTAAATAATAGATTAAAAAAAAAACTAAATGAAAATTCAAAATGTTGCCTTGGCAGCTAACTGAAACAAAATAAATTAAGTTACTGTACTAAAATGACTAAAACTGAAATAAAGAATGAATTTAAAGTAAATAGAAAGAAAACTAAAATAAAAATCTGAAAATAAAAACTGTCAAACTAATAAAAACTATATAAATGCTAAATAATAGATACT